AACTTAAAAATTTCACTTGTAGTTGATGGATGGTGCCTTACATAAATATTAAATTGATCAGCTCAAACACTTTGTTTACACTAAAAGTTAAATTTGTTTAGAATTAATCAGATTTAATGTTAAACAAATTTAACTATCATGCTGTTCACAATAATTGTAATGAACTTAGTTAAATTATTTTCTGTCACATTTCACGATGACCTAATTTATCAAATCAAATAATGTAATTGATTAATGTTAATTAAAATACAAAATCAGTTTAATGTATTTAATCCACAACATTACATATGTGTATTGAACTTATAATTCTGATGAAAAAGAATTCAAATTTCTAGATAGCAAAATTATATTTATGAAGCACTAGAAAATTAATGGCAGCACATTTGGTTCTGTTAGACCTCTGTCCAATGAGAAAGCTTGACTATTCTTAAGTTTAAATGTTGTCATTAACCTTGTTTAATTTGAATGAATGACTGTGGTTTTAAACTTTTAATAGATCGGCTGAACTAATTTGTTCAACGTACTAAGACTGCTAAACTAGTTTAACAACTTAAAATCATTGTAACTTTCCTAGTATAAAAATACTATTAATGGGTTTTACTTCAAGTAACATCAATGTAGAACAAAAACAAATGTTTTTAATTATTAGCTAATTAAAGATTCTGAATATTATTTATATCTATATAAATATAAATGTTGAAATTAAAATGCTATGCTAATAAGTTGATATNATGAAATCTTGCACCACCTCAAAATCTTCCTAGGGCAGCCTCTGGCTTGGCCTGTGGAAAAGGTTTTCTTTCCAATTCGGCCTGGGGGCAAAAACTGTTGGCCACTCCTGTACTAGTGGCATGGTTGCTAATTTAGGGAATTTTACCCTATATCTAGATGTTTTTATCACTCATAATTTTTTTCAGTTAGGGTATATTTTAGGTTTTTATGCACTAAATAGAATAATCTTGGAAAATTTAGTAAATGATACTGTATGCAGTAAATACAGAATGTATAAAAATTAACTTTTCCAGAGTATTGGTTGCAAAATATCTTGTTTCTTTACTTTTAAAATAACTATAATTTTGCTTGTAAATTTTTTATTATTGCCTGAATTTGGATTACTAACTTAAAAGTTTATTGCAATTGCTGTAAAACCATTTCTATCTACCACTCTGATGGAAAACACTGAAATAAAAATAAAAAAACATTAGCTGAAAATAAGCCTTCTTGGTTCAAAAGGTTATCTTCTTTTTTGTTGTATTTTTTTCATAAAAAATAGCTAAAAACAATATTATTGAATTGTATAGAGTATATGAAAAATATCAAAGAATTTAATAAGTTAAAATAATATAACTGAATAAATAGCAATAATGGTAAAATACAGAAATAATAGCAGACAGGTATGACTGCTAATGAGGAGTAAAAAAGTTATGATTAAAGTATATTATGTTAGGATTCATCTGATGAACTAATGACACATTTAAGTGTTGTGACTTCCCATCAACTAAATAGAAAAGAATTTATAATATGTTTTCTTAATTTATTAGGTTGTTCAGAAAGTAAGTTCATTTTTTTACCACTAGACGGATTAGTCGTATTTTTCCCGCCATTTTCATTCTAAACTGTATTATCATTATATATTTTGACAGCTAGCATTTTAAGGCTTATTTATAAAAAATTTTGTTTGATTTTGTGCAATTGTTTATTTTTTGTGTTCCATCAAATATGGAATATTGGAAGCAGCATTTTCGGCCTATTTTGCTCTTTTATTACCAAAAAGGTAAGAATGCTGTTCAAGTGAGAAAAAAATTGTGTGACGTGTATGGAGATGTGTTGAGAAAAAGACAGTGCCAAAACTGGTTTACAAAATTTTGTTTTGGCAATTTCAATATTGAAGATGCACCACGTTCTGGATGGCCAGTTGAAGCCAATGAAAACAAAATAAAGGTACTGATTGAAGCAAACTGCCAAATAACAACACGTGAAATCACTAAGAGATTAAATTTGTCAAATTGAACTGTTTATGATTACTTGAAACAAATTGATTTCGTTTCAAAGCTTGATATATGGGTTCACATGTTCTTAAAGAGAGATGCTCTCTTTGGTGGAGATTTTAAGGAAATTTTTTTTTGAGCTTTTACCAGACAATTTAACAATTGATTCGAAAGTGTACTGCCATCGAGTAAATAAATTGAGTATCATCAAACAGAAAAGGCGGCCAAAATTGATCAACAAAACAGATGTAGTGTTTTACCATGATAATGTCAAATTTCACACAAGTTTGGTAACTCATCAGAAACTGTTATAACTTAAATGGGATGTGCTATCACACCAACCATATTCGCCAGATCGAGCACACTCAGATTATTACTTGTTCCAGTTTATACAAATTTTTTTTTTTACTGTAAGACATTTGTCATTTCATGTAATGTCAAAAATCACTTGGATCAGTTTTTTGTAAGCAACGATCAAAACTTATGTGAATCTGAAATCATGTTACTACCAGAAAGGATGACAACAGGTATTTGACTGAAATGGTTGATATATAATTCAATAAAATATTTATTTATTATAAAAATATTGTGTTTTTTTCTACGGAAAAAACGAACTTACTTTCCGAACAACCCAATATATTATAATTTTATTTCATTTTTAATTCTCCACTTGAATTTGACCCATTGATTGATAAATACTAGTGTAGGATAATCTATGGTAAATCTTTCAAAGTAATTCTGAAGAACTTTTTGACAACACAGGGTTTAAGTGGTTTGATTGTACATTACACCACTTAGATAACAGAGTAACTGATTTGATTTTGTTTAAGGGATCATCCTACCATTTTTTTTTCTCAGAACTAGTGAGTGTTTTTAAGTACTTTGCAGGATATTGTACTGATTTTGCCTTATTTATACAGTAGAATCCCAGAAATTTAACTCTCAATAATGTTTCATAAAACTCATCATGTTGTGCAAAAAATAGAAATACATGTAATCTAATTTTTACCTCTGTAATTTAACTTATTTGATTCTAGTTTTATCATTCTTCACTAGTGACATTTGATAATAGCATCAATTGTGTGTGTTAACAAAGAATATAAGCTTATTTCCACAGTGCCACTAAAAAACACCATGACGTGGATGTCTCTAACTTGAAAGTAGCCACTGAATAGCCATTATAAAATTTAACTACAAATAGAAATAGTCGCTATTAGTTCTCAGTTAATACATATATGAGTTTGCACATAATACCTTTATGAAAATTCCATTTAGACTAGCATCATCACTGTATTGCAAAACACTTTATTTTTGGTAACTTGTCACCTCCTCAGTCCACATTATGTTGAGTTTGTGAGTCTCTGCTGTAAGGCCAAGAACACACATGCGTAAAATTGTGTGGCAAAAAGCTGAATCAGAAATCAACTTTCAGTTCAGTTTCTGTTTTACACTTTTATGCCAGAACACACATATATAAAAATTCTGGCTGAATAGGAAATGCCACTGCCATTAACACTGCTAATTTTATTAATTTTTTTTTCTCTCATATATATCTATCCCTTTGTACCTTCCATTTTTTTCTCTGCTGCCTCTGCTATAATTTAGAAAACTTAAATTAATAGACTTGTATTTCAAATTGAAATAATGTGTGATCTAAATACTATATATATATATAGATTCTACTAGACCTACCTGTTATTTGAAATTTAGCACACATGGCTGTCCATAAACTTTGTTTAAATACAGTGTCTTTATACGTGACACGTTTTTTGTCATAAAGAAACTGATGTGGTCAAATAGATTTAATAAAGTCTTCTATTTCATTTTTTCTTGTTTTCTTGGAGACCATCACAATTGTAGGGCTAACCACCATTGTCACCATTATTAGAATAAAAACCACATGTTTACTTTGACATCACAAAAAAGACTTCGCTTTATTGGAGGAATTTTGGCATAAAAATTTTATGTGCATAAAAAGTAGAGACATGCTCTGCTTTTTTTTTTTTTTTTTTCAGCCAAAATTTCAGAAAAATTTTTACTGCTCTCTGTTTTATGCTAGATATTACACCGAATTTTATGCATGTGTGTTCCTGGCCTAAAATTCTTAAATGTATGGAAATACAGAAAATTTTTAAATTCATTTAAGAAATTTTTAATTATTATGAGACAGAATATGAATAAATGGATGAAGGGTAAGATCTGTTAGAATGAAAAGTTTTTTAATATTGTTGATATAGATTGTCTTCTTTAAATTCAGTTCTTGAACTTAATTGAAAAAGTAGCACATGAAATGTTGCTACAGCAGTCAACGTGCTGTTTCTGCAATGATTGCTTCTTTGGCAATAAATATTTTAACTTCATTTCTGTATGAAAATAGCATAGTGACTATATATATATCATAAATTATTTTAATGTTTCTTATATAATCTATTGCTTTTTATTGCCTCAATAATCTATAATAACTGACTTGCATCATTATCATGATGATAATTTGTTAAGAATGTGAACAGTTTCATTTTTCATTATTCAAACACTATGTAGTGTAATTAATCGATCACTTGGTATAAAAATTAAAAAGATGAAAAATGCCAAGTGATCGATTAATTACACTATATAGTGTTTTAACAATGAAAAAGAATAATGACATGGTTTCAGATTATTAAACAAGTTTCATTTTTTGTAAATATAAAATTTGATATTCTTATCAAATGCTTGTCAAAGTTTGTTGATTAAATATCTTACTTTTGCAGCAATAAATATTTGATAATTAATGCATTATTGCATTCTGAGAAACCACATGATGATAAACATTATATAGCTTGGAGGATGTGAAGTTAGGCATGTATGAAAAACAGCAAGTAATTGAAAATGTTTTCTTATGTTATTGAATTAATGTTTTCATCTCATACATGTTTACAATTAGTTTTAAAAACAGACTACAAAGGTAAATGTTGTATGGCCATTAAGAGGTTGTCTCAAGGTGAGTGTAGTGCAATGTAAATCATGCTAAAGTCACTGAGTCATTTTAAGGATTTGTGAACTTCCTATCAAAATATAGTTTTTCTTCATAGCAATGCAGTTAAATTTGTCTAATTATTTTTGTGTGGCAGTACCATTGCTCATAAAGTGTATAATCTCAAATATGTTGATTGCATATGCTTGCCTTTACAGATCTGGGAAAATGGACAGTGTTTGTTGTGATTGAAAACCTGGGAAGTGGAGGTAGTGTCAGGCCTAGTCCTACTACTGTTAATGTATTTATATGGTGTATTGAAACTTAGACCATTAAGTGCACTATACATAAATATTAGTTAATTATACTAGTTAATAAATTGACTATTAACTGGGTATCCTAAGTAGCCTGCCAAGTTTTAAGAGGACATCATGAAGAATCAAAGTAAATTTTTATTTATTATTTTTTTTACATATCTTGCTTGAAATTTGTGCCACTATTAAGATTACAATCAAAACCATGCTTTTAAGATTATAATTTTACACACAATCTAACCAAAAGATATTAAATAGAACTAGCTCTTGTCATTACTGTTAACTTTTCAATCAGACTATTATGCTTTATGAAAACAAATTGAAGTTAAAAATAAAACAAAATTTGTTTTTTAATTTCAAAATTTTTCCTTAAATTTTTGTGCACCAAAGTCAGATATTTAGCAAATTCCTATTGTCTAATACTTAGATTTAAGAATTGAAGAATGTAAACAAAAAGCTAGGATTTAATCAGAATTTGACTTCATTAATAAATTATAATAATTTTTTCATGCTAGAGAAGATTGAATATCTAAAAAGTAACTTTAACTTTACAATTGTTTAATAATCTTATTATTTCTATGTTCCACTATATTACTAAACATTTATTGTTAACTGAAGAATTCTTAATTTTATATTTTCTGAGAGATTTATTCTTGTTTTAATAAAAACTTTCATACTTTGCTGTAAATTTTAAAATCAAGTAATTGATGATGATGCTATCAGCACAAGCATTTTTTTTGTTAGCATCTAATGGGTTTTTTTCTGATTAGTCTTGCAAACTGATTTCCTTATAAATGTTAGTCTATTTATATACTCTTAGTTATTGCATTATTGGTATATATTTTAATATAGTGAGAATTTTTATAGAAACATTACTTATGCAAATTTTTAAACATATTAATGGTAACTAAGATTTTAAGTGCAATTAATAATAAAAATTGATAACTAACATTTTTAACTGTTTAATAATATTTATTAGATTTAAACCAAATATATGAACAAATGAACAGAATATTACAAATTTAAAAACTTACTCTATGGAACACAGTATTTTACATGGTTGTGTAAAATACTATATTCCATGTTCTGTCATTCTGTAGTGATGAAGATTGTTAAATAAAATCAAACATTACCTTTTAGATTTCTGCTGTGTTTAAAGATTTGGATTGTTATTCATTACTTTCTTTTATTCATTTAACTACCTGAATAATATTTTTTTATTGTAATACTACAAATTTGCAGTCACAAATGACAATATGTAATGACAAATACTGTGTAAAATGAGCTCTAGCTTAGCATGGTTTGAATGATTTAACTAGCATGCATGATCAGCAAGAGCTATAGATTTAAATCCCCATTTAGAGCTGTTATTTCCAGTGCATTTTAAATTTTATTAAATTAATAAATAATAACCAAAATTTAGCTTTTGGCAAAATTGCTATTATAAATTTATCAATCAAATTAGTCAAAAACTAAAAAATAAATACTGTAAATAGTCATAATTAACTTACTTTAATTTTAGTAATAGTTTACTTAGTTTACAGAATGTTAGATTTTATATTGACTTATTCATATTCAATTAATTTATTTTATAGTATTTAAAAATTTTTTTATGGTTAACTTTCTAACAGATGTTATATCTGTTATAACTCTAATGACAATATCAAAATAATAGTATTCCAGAAAATTTAAAAGTTAACTTTCATCTGATAAGGAATCAAATACAGTTGAACCTGTCTATCTTGAATCTCATGAGAATTAGAGAGAAAATTTGAGATAGAGGTTCCTGCACAGTAAATGGTAATAGATTTGATTGGAGGTACAGTATTTTATTAATATGATAGGAAGTACAGTACAATACATATCTGTATTAGGTATAAATAAAATTTTTTTGACATATCTGAACAGAAATGGTTTGTCAATAGTTTCTAATGCCTGATTTTTTTTCAACTAATAGTGAGGTTGCAGCTGATGTTTTCAACACGAAAACGTGTATGTCGGATATTCAACGCCACCTTGCTGTAAGCCTAGAAGATTGACAATGGCAATTGTGAGTCATATCATGCTTGACTTTCCAAATGCCATTGCCAAACTTATAGGCTTACAGGATGGCTAAAATCACTGAACACTGGTAGTTTGTCGTGGCTTCATGCTTTGCCAACAGGAAGGCCAAGTGAAGGTTTTTGGGTTTTCTTCACATTTGTAACATCTAAATAGGGACCAGTTTTCCATAGAAAGTTGTCCTGGGAGGCATTTCCCCTTAGCAGATCATTTATATATCATGTTGCTGTAAGCAAATAAGTCAAACCAAACTTGTAGCCAAAAAAGAAACAAAAAAAAACACATTAATTGCAACTATGTACTATATTGCAAGAGATGTTTTTCTCTTTTATGCTATCAAAAAAGTCAGATCTTTTGAATTTGTATTTGACACTTCAGTTTGTAATTTGAGATATAAAGGTTTTTGGTGAAAATTATTTGAGATAAACATGGAAAATATATTGAATTTAAACTGAAAATGCAGGGGGGAAAAAATAAAATTTAAAAATAGGGATTTTCAAGATAAACATGTTTAAGATAGATAAATTCAACCATAATAATAATTATAAAACAAATTTTCTCTTAATCTAATGAAATAAGTCATCTTCAAGCATAACAAAGCATAGTTTGTAATGCCTGATAATTTACTTTAATTCCTGGCATGTTTAGTAGTAGTATTTTTAATCAGTTTTTTTTCCTTTTTATTTAACATTATGCACACAATAGCTAAAAAGATTGAGAAATTACATATTCTTAAATTTTAGAATTTAGTGCTTACTTAACTAGACTATTGTGTATATGTAAATGTCACTAAGCCCAATGTATTAATTTAATAATAAACCAAACAATTTCTGTAATTAATCTGGCTATTTTTCATTACTATTAATAATTAGATATTAAGTAATTTGGTATTAGAGGTAGATGTTAGACACCATCTCTTATTAAAATCAATAATTATAACTTAATATTATTATTAGTGAAAAATAGCCCAACTAGTTATGGTGATTATTTTGTTTATTATACTATTGTGATATATTAGAACAAGGGTCACCACACTATGGCCCACTGCCATACCATGCCACAAATGAGCTAAAATATAATTATTTATATGGAAATATCATAGATTGTAGATAAACTTACACATTTTAATTTTTTCTACATAGTAAGTAAAAATGCCAAAAATGGTCCAATGTGGTTTTTGCATCTGACAGTAATATGATATTTAGGAAAATCAGTCAAATAAAAAATTTGGCAACTTTTTGCCACTCTGGATATCAGAGCGCTTTTTGTATAAGTACCTGCAATGAAGTTTCTAAGAAAAGCGATTACGAGCTTACTGCAGCCATCATGTTTATTAGTAAATAAATAGATTGGTTGTGTTTATTATTTGTGTATTCAGTATACTGTATTGAACAAAATGGTTATGCAGCCTAAACTCATCATTCTCTGTTATGTGGTCCGCTGTGAAAAAAGTTTGCTGACCCCTGTATTAGTGTATCTCTTATAATAATTTTCAATGTGCTAATATCCCTTTCATATGTTTCAAGTTTTTTATACAAATATAGCATAAATTATTACTTGATAAAAAGAATTTATTATGTAACTCAAAGATTAGATCAAAACTTGAAAATCTTTAAATTATCAGCATGAATGGCAAAATCAATAAAAAAAAATTGATGGACGATTTTGTTAGTTGTCTCTGATGAGCTAGGAGGCTCAAAAATATTCATGATTTAATTGGTAGATTTTTTGAAGAAATGTATAAATAATTTTTTATCAAAAATGTATTAATATATGTTAGCCACATGCTGAAATTTGCCATTTTCAAGAAGAGCTAATATGTGCTATAACAAACATTTGTTTCATACTCTGTCTAGTTTTTCTTGTCACTTCTTGAAATGTTAATATAGTTTCTGCAGATGTTGAAATAGGTATATATTTCAGCATCTGTCTAATGAAACTAGGCATTTCATGCAATGTCAAAAGCTTACTAGCACATGGCATAAACAAAACAGTTTAATGTTTCTACACTCTGTATCTTTAATTTTAAAATAATATAGAAGTGTAGAAACATTTGAGTGGGAACTCTACCTCTACTTCATTTCATTCTTAATTATTTACTTTTGTTTAGTTGATAGTGACTACTATTCAGTATTGATTGATGGGGAAAAACAAAATTCAAAACCAAGCTTACCATCCACAGTCCGTCTCCCTGGAGAACACTCTAGTAAATATCAGAAGAGTGAAACTTTACACATTCAGTTGTTTTTATGCCATGTGCTTGTAAGCTTTTGACATTACATAAAATGCCTAGTTTCATTAGACAGATATTGAAGTATACATCTGTTTCAACATCTATAGAAGCCAGATTATCATTTCAGGAATTGACAGAAAAACTAGACAGATTCTGAAACAAATGTTTATGCTAGCACTTCAAGAAATGGCAAATTTTAGCTTGTGACTATGGCACATTTAATACAATGAAAAAATCTAAGTAAGAAAAATTTATTCATAGCAATGTAATTTTGATTTCAAAATCATTATAAGAAACTAATTTCTTTTACAATAACTCTTTCAGATTTTTAAAAGTAAATAAATTATGATGAAATTAAACAATTACATATTTTCATCAATTTGATTGTTAACTTATTTGATAAGAATTTTTTTTTTAAATATGATGATATTCTGTAAAACTCAGATATATGTTTAAGCTTAAAGGTAACTGCACAGTTGGATGGACAGACAGGATGGATAAAGCATAAATCTTTCTGCATTATATGGTAGGGTACAGTGGGCAAACAAGAGGACAGATTTCATAGGAGGAAGTTTGTTACACATTCTCAAGGATTTTTGAACCTACAAAATGGACTAAACCATGGTACCTAGCTATCAAAACCTCCTGGCACTTCACTTATTAACAGAAATTGCTATTTTTTCTTTGAGAGAGACACTGTCACTTATATTTCTCTTACCATGGCATACACAGACATAATTTTTCTGATGAAAAACAAATTTATACAATTTACAGCATTCTGTTTTAAAAGTAGGCTTCTCACTACTACTAATATTTCATGGATGTTACTCATACTG